CCAAGGCCTTGCCAGTTCAAACCAAACGCGTGGTGGATAGTGTCGCCCTTCAAGTCATTGGCCATAACAGCCTGCAGTGTCACGACTTGGAATTCCTCACCTTGCTTCCAGCCCAAAATATCCTCAAACAATTCTTTCCGGAGACGATTCAAGACATGCGATTTCCCTGTACCGGGTCCGCCATGCACAGCCCACAATGGCTCTAGCACCCCAGGGTTTTCAGAGAAGATCTCCTGCACGACTTGGCTTGCAACTTTTCTACAAACTTCTGCTTGTTTGGCATTGCATCCGTCTTGCGCGACGCCCCCGGCCCATTCTTCCACATGGTTTTTAACTGCTGTTATATTGACAATTTCTTGCTGCACCTCGGGCTCCCGCACGCAACTGTCTTTCTCACAGCTCACTGGTCGCGCCTTGCATCGCACACTTTTTAGGAGGCTCTTGCTGTCCAAGCCTTGGCATGGGTTTGGTAACGGACAGGCTTCACACGGAAGCGTGTTCCAATGCTTCTGCGCCCGTTCTATGGCATCAACGATGAGGCTGCGGTGCACTGACCACTTGCCTTTCTTCGTGTCTTCTTCGTTCACTGGCACATGAGTGTCACAGGCTTGCGCCAAGTCGCCTGCAGTTACCACCAAGTCCTCCGTGTCATCCTCGTCGTCGCTGTTCTCTCCCTCGTTTTCCGGACGCACACGATACACTGACAAGAAATTTCCCACGTAGCGTTTGGTTTCTTCGCATGGCAACTGCAGTAGCCACTCCCGTAAACTTTGCTCCCAGGTCGCGCCTTCCTTCCGCAAGCGGTACACGTGCGGGACTTCTGCATTCCCACGATGTTTGTTCAGAGTCCATGCTCTGAAATATGCCAATGTCAACTTTGCGTTCCGTTCTGGTTCTTCACCCCATTTACTGGGAACCGGTGAACTGGCCAGCTGCGGGCACAGCGGCCTCAAACGCCGACACAAATACCATCCGTGCTGCAACTCCCGCCCAGCGCTGCATGATTAAGACAATATTCATGTTTAAGACATCTATATGATCTATCAAAATCGACTGAATGTTTATTAAGATGCAACATATGTAACACATCATACCCAGTACTCTCAATCCATGTGTATATATACAAATGTATATCTATATCTATGCACCACGCTTGATATACCTTCCCAGCAGCTTTGCCTTCGGGCTCGTCGTCCGAGGCAGCGTCCATGGCTGCGAAAAGTTGTAGCGACGCTTGGTGGCTCTGCGAGCTTTCGAAAATATCTTTGGCTTTGCAGAGCTTTGTTGTGTATATTTTTGTATATTTGTTTCTCCTACAAGGAGTCCAGTCGCAAGAAGGCAAGGTTGTATCTTTTCTTTGCATCTATGCTCCATGCTTCTGGGGTCAGAAGCAACCGGCAAAAGAACTGGCAATCAATCTTTGAATCCTGAGCATCTATATTTTGATATATATATATATATATTGTTTTTTGTCTAGTCTACCCCCCAAATGAAATGGACTTTACGGTTCCAGTTGCGTTGCTATTCACATGGCGGGCTCGGACCACCTCGCAGATCGAGGAACAGTTGTGATGGCAACATCACATTTAATTCCACTATATATTTTTACCCACCTGCCAGGTGACGGTTGTTAGATTTTATCAGAGCGCTCTTCCTCCGCCTCATCCTCCTCCTCCTCGTCCTCCTCCTCCTCCTCCTCGACTAGCTGTCCTCTTCCTCCTCGTCCTCCTCCTCGCCTCCTCCTCCTCCAGTTTCTCCTCGACCATGTCTGCATCAACTTCCACCTGCACTTCCGCCTTTCCAACTCTTCGCCAAGCTCTTTGCCAAGTCTCTTCGCCAAGCTCTTTGCCAACTTCCCAGCTCAGTGTGCACCGCTGAACCTGAACCTGGGACCGTCCCAGCTCAGTGTGCACCGCTGGACCTCAACCTGGGACCTGCCCAGCCCGGTGTGCAGCGCTGGACCTCAACCTGGGACCTTCCCACCTCAGTGTGCACCGCTGGACCTCAACCTGGGACCTGCCCAGCTCAGTGTGCACCGCTGGACCTCAACGGCCAAATAGACTGACGGAAGATATGCCAGATAGAATGCCAGAAGATATGTCAGAACATATGCCAGAAGATATGTCAGATCGAATGCCAGATAGAATGCCAGAAGATATGTCAGAATATATGCCAGAAGATATGCCAGATAGAATGCCAGATAGAATGCCAGAAGATATGCCAGAAGATATGCCAGATAGAATGCCAGAAGGTATGCCAGATAGAATGCCAGAATATTTGCCAGATAGAATGCCAGAAGATATGCCAGAAGATATGCCAGATAGAATGCCAGATAGAAGCTAGAAGATATATCAGATAGAATGCCAGAAGATTTGCCAGTAAGAAAATCTATAAGTCATGGTGGGGATCACACAAAGTAAAGTATTTTTTTACGTCGCAAAACATTATAGCCTGCAAACAACGGAGAATGTCTGACAATGTATCATAATCATAATCCAATCAATATTTTAAGATGTCGCTATTATATCTCTTGGGGGATTGCTACAATGTGGTCAACCAAATGCCATCAACTCCCATTGATGGTTAGAACCCCCGTCAGGGTCATGTGCTTTCCTTCCTCCACCCCTGAAAGGGGGTCGGCGGCACCAGGGCGTTAGCCCATTTATAATCAATCGTGGCAATGGAAAATCCCCCGTTTCTAGATGATGTTCCATTTAAACGCCCATTAACATCTGGTTATTCAACATAGCCATGGAAAATCCCTTATAAATGGAGGTTTTCATGGGAAAATCATCTATAAATGGGCCATTTTCCTTGGCTATGTTAAATAACCAGAGGGTAAATCATTTGGTTAGGGGATTTCCCACTGCATGACAGCCATGTTTCATGACACTGGAGGGTATGTATTGTTTGTTGCCCTTCTGCTAGCCGCTAGCCTTGCCAGGGCTGCCATTCATGAATGTGAAGCCCGACTCCGCCTGGCACATCGTCTCGAAATTGGGCGATTTACCATCAATAACGTTGCGATTGACATGGAGAAAATGCAGTTTTTAAACCATAAAATTTGGAGGTCAGATATAGTTTCAAATATATTTTCAGACAAACTCGTGTCTCAACCTGCAGCCAGTACGCCTTTGGCCCACTTTACTGGACACCTTTGGCTGCTTGTCATGGCTTGGGGGTCTTCGGGCCATGCAAAACATCGAACTGTCCCAGTAGATTCCCCAGATTGTGGAGATTGTGATGGCGAACATAAACATTCACCTTCCGAAAATCCAAGTTTAACCTATCCCCATAAACCTTAAACCAGGCAAATTAATGGTTAATGATGGTTAATAGTGGTTAATAAATGATGGTTAATGATGGATACTGATAGTTAATGATGGTTGATGTGGGTAAAACAATGTCATGTTTACCACAAAAATGACTGGGAATGGGATTTCCATACCACCTATAAAAATGCTGATGACTCGGGGATGGTTTATTATTGTTTTACCCACTACCCACATTATATAACCAGAATATCACCATTTATTCCAGACATTTATATCCCAATCGCCTGTATCACAGCATCATAGCCCACTCGCTCGTCCGCAAGGCCATAGCCGGTGATTTGAGCCTTGGAACACATGGGGCGGTTTTCACCATCGATTTTTTGTTGGGGATATATGTATTTATATATATACATATATATATATATAATATCATGACACAGTTATATACATAGATATACATGAAGGCTTCCTGATGTCCATTGATTTCTGTTCCAGCTGGAGGTGGATATATATATATGCATATAGTTATAGGGGTGAATATATATCCCAAGTTTTAGGGGTTTTAACCATGGTCTTCTGATGTCAATCTGATTTCTGATAACGTTGTTTCCGTAAAAGCGATTGAAACAATGTCTTGCATTTGGACATTTCCGCCAATCTTAAACACAAAAACAAGCTGGTTAGGTCAATGATCTGAATTTACAATACATATATATTATAGACTCTAAGTAGACTACCCACCACCAGTTGGTGTTTCCCCATGATGACTACCTGAGCCAAGATTCATAGATCAGCCGTGGATGTTCTGAGCGCAGGGTCTGCGCATCCAGGCCCAACTTCTCAGCATCCCCAGGTTTGTAGGAAGCGAGGACCTGAGGACGTGTGGCCACTGGGGAGCCATGCCCCAGCCCATAAATCTTCGATGAATTTATGGCCCATAGACCTATAAAAAATGGTGCTTTTTCAAATCGATATGTTAGACTATGTTCGTTTATGTTAGTTCACTGGAGGATAGCTGAAAGTACTAAGTTACTAGAAGAATTTAAAATATATAATGGAATATGCACCCATTTGTATATGTTGCAGATTGCCGTTTTATGGTCTTCCTTTGGACCTGTTTAATACAAATGGGGGACTCTCCAAGGTTTCCAAGAGGGACACCAAAAGAAGGGCAATCATCGGCCATGGCTTGTTCTGCTTCCAGGCTTTCAATGGATAAACAAGTCTGGTTGGTGGTTTCAACCCCTTTGAAAAATATGAAAGTCAGTTGGGGTGATTATTCCCAACTGAATGGAAAAATAAAACATGTTCCAAACCACCAATCAGAAGTCTAAGTAACTTATCTCTATGCTTAAGATTTTAAGCGGATGGATGTAACCAATTGTGAAGCCCATTGATTATGTGCCCAATCACCGCTGAAGGAGGCTGAAACCATACCATATCTACCATAAAACTGGGTAAATGAACATATTTTGCTAACCTGAATCTTGCGGTCACTTGGGGATGATACCCCTGGCCCCATTCACCATCATTCCAGGGAGGTTGTTATAACTTATCCAGATGAAACTTGGCTGTGACTAATCACCACTAGTGGGAAGAGAATACAGCACCCATGGGGGTAATGGTGATTAATTAGTGTGATTAGTGTGATTACCCATTTACTTAGCTGTGACTAATCACCACTCAGGTGTGAAACTAGTTCGCGAGCATGGCAAAGTGCACCCATTTTCGCGCACTGGCTTGCGCAGGTCTCGTCCAGTCTGACTCTGGCTTATGCAAGTCCCAAACCCCTTGGGACAGCGTCATCGAGTCAGGACGATGTCATCAATTTTGAGGATCATGCGTACCTTGGTCATAGCAGCTTCACTGCATCCAAAGTGATTTGGACTAGTACACCTGCACTGGACCTATATGAGACAGGCTCACTAAACCTCTTAGTCCATCTGCTTACAAGCCTTGTTCAAGGACCACCACAACTGCTGGACCTATCTACCCTTCAGTATAGCAAAAGAAACATTTTCTGCGATTTTCTCCAAAAAAAACCAGGGAATCGCGGTTAAATACTCCAAAAAATGGACATGTCCATTTGTTTTTTTTGAAGATGACTTTCTCCACCTTACTGAACTTTGGGACTTTTCCCCATGGGAAAGTTTCCCCATGGGAAAACCCCACATCTTTGGACGAGAGCACAGTTTCAGTGGCCATGTTGATCGCACTGGTGGAGACCAAAAGTGGCTGCACCACGTTCTCTTGGAACATGTCACTGATGCAGCCCTTCCTGCAGGCGCGGCGATCCCCAGGATCGTTGCGTGTGAAATTCTGGATGATTTAAGTCAAAATGACAGCGCCATCGTTTTTTAGTGTGTGAAAATGCCAGTGAAATGAAAAGTGGATAAACATGACAAATAAAAAGGGAACAGTGAAAATCCGCAATGATCCCTTGAGTGTTTTGGTGGATTATTTACAGTGTGTGAAAATGACATCGTTCATTGTTTGGAGTGTGAAATGAATTGGTCAATTAAATTCACATAAGGTTTCAAGATTAGTCTTTGCAACATGTGAAGTTGAAAGCTGCATTTTTTTGCACAAACAACTCATTGATATTGTTGCTATATATCCAATAAATGTCCCAAATCATTAGTCATATCCAATAATATATACAATTTACCATCTGGTTATGACTAACACTTCGCCATGGAAAGATCCACCATGCTATTTCTTGTTTGGTAAACCATGAAATTAATCATCTATTTTCATGGCCTAAATGGCGCTTCCGTGGCTATGTTAGTCATAACCAGAGGCATCTCACCACCCCTCCACGACGCCACGATAAATGGGTTCACCATTAAAAAAAACGCGAAATTGGAGAAAACCTGTGGTTTTTCTAACTTTTTGCCCATAGTTTCCATGTCATTGCCCAAAAAAAACATGGGCCAATCCCACTGGATGTAACTAGTTGGTAGATCTGAATCTGGTTAACAACTCACCCAACAAGATTCTCCCGTCAATGTGTTGTTAACCCTACAACGACCCGTTACAACATTCGTGGGGTGACCCGGAAGGGGCGAACAAAAAAAACACGGTGCGGTTCGCTTGGCCGAGCGTCTTGACGTTGATGCCTGCGGACTTCTCGCCTTTGGCATGCGCTGCCCTCAACTGTGTTACGATCTCCACAGGCTGCATGCCCGCATTCTCAGCCAGGGTATACGGCACCTGTTTAGAGCCGCGCCAACAGCCAACCACCACAATTCATGGCACAACGGTGATAAAACCATGGATAAAGCATGAAGGTTTATGGTTGAGCCACCCATCCCTTAAACATATATAGGATCATCATTTAACTTATGGTTGAACAATGTTGAACGGCATGTGAAACCACCAATCAGGACAAAAACTGTGAGATCTTGGCAAAGGTTTGGTGGACAGTAGATATGTCTATATAAAATTACATCTACCAGAATCTACCATAAATCCTAGTTATGATATAATAGCTATAAACCCACCTTAGCTGACAGTGAAAGGCACTACCCTTTGCACCACGACCATGAATCGGAAGGCCAATCCATTCGCAGCCAAGATTCCAGCTCCAAGGCTTCTGCGTAGTGCTCAATGCACACCTGAGTGATGCCGCCAATGGTCCTGACGTGCTCGTCCGAAAATCTCAACGTGTCGCTGCTGATCTATGTAAGCTATGTTGCTGTAGTTGATATAACCTACAATCATGGCCACATGGTATTTCGCTATCTTCCTCATTGAAGTTGCTTGACTTATGCATCACTTGCTTGTAAATGTTTCTAGAATGCTTCTAGACATTTGGACAAGATGTGATCTTGAAAAGAACATGCTCAGAGCAAAAACAGTTGAAATGCCAAGCACATCCAACTATGTCTGAAATATACTGACTGATATCATTGTACTGTCTACCGATCAACTTCTTTCCTCCATGCTTTCTGTCTACTTCAAGGGTTTCTTGTATGTTCTCCTTTTGGGAGGGTTGGCTGAAAACTCTAAACACTAATTGAACCACAACCAAATAATACCAAATAGATCTATTAAGTTCAATAGATGTTAATAGCACTCAATAGTGTTTGTCTTTTAACCTCCATCAACTATAGGGAAGTCTCAACCCCACCCGCTACCGGATCGTCCTTGCCCAGGCATCCAACTTTTGTGCCACCTCCATTTCAGGTGCAGCACCACCAGCGATCAGAGCCTCCCGATTTCACGGAGGATCAGTTTGAAGGACAGTACAATTTCACATCAGGTTGTGTTGAAATCATCATTATGTTTAAGGATGTGTATCTGCTTTATCTGTTTTAATACATAGAATTCAAATGACCACTGGGCTTGCTTGATGTTTCTTCGGAGAGATACCTGGGTAAAGTGAAGCACAATAGGTTGCTAGCTCGATTTCCTTGTTCTGAAGCGCAAATCAAACTCGCGTAGGACAACAAAACGAGGTTCACATCATGCTTACAACAAGCGACGCTTTGTGGGCTGTGAGCCCTTGACCGTTTCTCAAAGCCTTTGATTGTCTTGCTTTCAGGTTAGTTTCAAGTTTCGATCCAAGCATAACTAGCGTTTGAGTTTGTTTTCCCGGCCAAGGCAAAAACAGAATGTAGCAAATCTATACTACAACATACGTAGTAAATCATACTAAATCACAGGAAATCATAGTAAATCATGGTAACTCATAGTAAATCTATACTTTAGGTTCCAAGTAGCCAGCCTTATTACTCTCCATGTTCTTGCTATGCAGAATTACGTTGGAGTACATCTCCACTGGTGCTATGCGAGGTGGGCATGTCTGATGATGATACACCATGGGATTTGGGGGTCTCTTCTATGGTTGTGTAAATTTAAATATATTTAAATATTGTTTCAAATAGTGGGAATTGGCCTTCACCAATCAGCTTCCCACCACCTTTGATGGTTTATATCGCATATGTTGTTCGTAAGCCCACATAGTATGTTAAATCATTTACAGTACATCCTGTTGTATCGTTGAACCAAAAGTGTCCAAATTGCTTGAATATCTTGAATCTCCATATTCTTAAATTGCTATGTTTCATCGGTGAAACATATATAATACATATCAGCAAAAAAAATGAAGTCCACATCCCAATCTCCGATCCTACGATCCTTCTCCAATTTGCCTTGCAGCATCTTGCAGCTGCCCTCCAGGCCTTCTTCTTCACAAGACTTCGTACCACGCAGAGCGCATCATGGATGGACCTACCGCCCCATTTTTAAGCACCATCAAGTCATACTGTGGATGGTTGCGAAATCCTGCACCCAACGGATGGTTGAAACCCTAATAAGTATAGTGGGATTGTATGTGTTTTTTTTAACCACCTATCAACTGGTGCAGGATGAACCGCAACCATCCACGATATATCAAGTCTCTTGATGTCTCTCGCGTGATTCGAAGGCGCCTCTCCGTCTCGTCCAACAACATTTGGTTGGACGCACGAACCAACACCGAGACACATCCACCCTGGCGGGGGTAGCTGCGCAGCCCATCTATGATCGACATATCAGACATATATGAATCAATGATATGTGACAATATCAGTGGGGTTTGTCTCAAAATTGCTGGATACACACCCAAAATGGATCAATTCATGGCAATTCTCATACATCAGGAACATGAGTTTTTAAAGATTCATTGACCACTGGATTTTCAGCTTAGAAGTTGAACAAACCTGTACCAAAGCCACCTTCGAGCTCTGTAGGCCGGTAAAGCGCACTATGCTGCCCAACCTTGACTGGAGCTGGAGAACTGTAGGATGGCTACCCTCTGGTAAACGTTGACATAACGAACTGGAAAGATCCACCATGTTTTAATGGGTAGTCATCAACTGTTTCGACTGGGCCATGTTCAAGTTCGCAAACTGTTAAGTTACCAGAGGGTATCCAAGACGTTCGCCATTTCAGAGACACATTTCTTTGATTTCACTTAAACATGATCCAATTTAAGCTTCAAATCCTGGCAATTCTCTCCGCAGACAATTGCCACCATGTTTTTGTTGTCTGGTTTTCATGGTATGCATTGCCAATTGTGGCAAAATCGTGGATTGACAAGCCAGGTACAATACCTCGGACATCCACAAGCCAGGTTGTTTGTCCTCAAGAGTGGTATGAACATCTTGGACATCCCTGCTGTTTTCATCTGTTTTCCCCATCATTCTCATTTTCTATGCTGTTCCATGCTGTTCCCAGCCATTTTTAACTCCATCTTTTGTCGTTTCGCCGCATCTTTTCGTGTCGCCGAGGGTCTCCGATCCCAACTTCTCTTCCATCACGAGATCAGCCTTTGCCAACTTCTCCGTGGTGAAGGTGTCCAAAGTGGCGGCTGCCTGGATCCAAGAGATCCAAGGAGTTGACAAAGTCCCAACGAGTGACAATGTCCTACGACCAAATCCACCAAAATGGTATTTCATGTGGATAGCTGAAAAGAACTAACTATAAAACAAAAACTAGACTAGCGTGGGTAAAACAAGAATCAACCATCCCCCAAATTTAATCACCATTTTTATAGGTGGTATGGTTACCATTCCCAGTCATGGGTGGTAAACATGACATTGTTTTACTCAGATTACTATAAACACTAGGCAACATACAGTAATAAAACCAACTTGGGTAAGTAGGAGGCACCAGCTTTTTTTCCGGATACATCTCCCACTGGATCCTGGATGGAAATCCAAGCAGAATTTCGGATTTCCAGCCTCCACACCCAAAATCTTCGAGATGAACTCGATATCTTCTCGCTCGATGTCCTTCACGACCATGATCTTGGCCTGCACGCCAGTGACAGGGCTCCATTCCGCGTCACAGCGATAGCTTGGAGCAACCCCTAAAATAGAAGTTCTGCCAATAGAGAAAGCAACGTTATAGAGTAACTCTATTCAAAGGATCTCCGTTGTGTCTTTGCATTCTATAGACAAATACTGTAAGCCCAAGCATATCCTGATAACATCTGATAACAAAATTGATGATTGACACATGTTGTATCAAACTTATGCATATGAAGACTTGACAAACGGTGCTTCTCCGCGTCTCCGCGTTCGAGATCGTTCGAGTCGCCAAGCCTTCGCACAAAAGTCCAGGGAGAGATCTGTCACCGCATCTCGCAGGATGGATTTCTGCACTAAAAGCACATTGCAACCGGTCTTCGCAATCTGCTTGACCATTTTCGCCTCAATGGATTGTTTGAAAAGAAAACTTGAAAGACAAGCCGAATTGGTTTTTGTCAAATAGAATCTATAGATCTATTTCGGGGTTTCACAAGGCAATCATGTTCATAAGGCAATCATTTCCTTAAAACCAGCATATAAATTGGTTGAACATTATTGACCATATATAAAATATGATCTTCTCTTCTTGCGCATCTTCAGCCAATTCTGGCACTCGGCATAGATAACACCGGCTCCGGCTTTCCAGCTTTCCCACTGTTGAGAGACATCCGATGTCATCGTTTTTAGACTTGCCGATCAAATCCAATATTTCAGGTGGCCAATTCACCAATGTGAAGTTCATTACTAAATAATACCAAATGTATACACCCGTACAAAAGGGACAGTCAGTTATATCTTAATTCATCAAGTGAAGTGTGTTTTTGCGTTTTGCAAGTTTTCAGGTACCCAAACCATGTGAAGCCCTGCGCAGGCTAACATCAAACCGAAAAGTAAGGCCATTTCGGAATGGCTACCCTAATCCTAAGCATCATACCTCCATTGATGGTAAAAATGTAAATCACATTAATTATCCCAATGTTTGACGGCAATATCCCCATTAATTATTATTGAGAACCATTCAGGTATTGCCAAATATCGATCCCTATTGTTTGCTGGTTCTCCTCATTATTGTTTGATGGTTATTCACCATTGAGAGCCATTAAACTTATTTTATTGTTTGATTTGGTTCCCCCATGTTATATCCATCGCTTCTGTCAAGCTGCCAGCAGAGTGCGTTCCTCACGCAGGAGGCGATCCATCTGTGCATAGTCGCGCACCTCTGACGTCATCGAAACCCTCAACCGGTCAAATCGGCTCCAAAAATTCATGGTTTGTCATGTTCCAAATTGCAACCTTGGAGTATCCACATAGTATCCACCATTTGTTTCAATGGTCATTGGATTGGTTTAAGGGAAAATCTAATTACAGGAAAACTCTATATTTCATGGTAAAAACCATGGTTTCCTGTAGATTTTCCCATCAACGAATCCATTGAAATGGGGAATTCCAGGATCCAATACATGGAGCTACGTAAACGTACCTCATATTTCTAGCCATATGAATTGGGGGGATATCCCTGAAATTTAGCCCATGTCTACGACATCAAAAATCCGACTGTGACCATTGAAACCCATCACTACCACTTGAGTTCACATGAGGGTAGCAAGTCGCATCAGCAATTCAAGTGGTTGAAGCTATGGAAAACCCACCGTTTTTTCGTTATAGATATGTCTGTTTGATGAAAACCATATGTTTTTTTTCCATATATTAGTGTTTTGTAAATTTCCTCGACTATAATAAGCCCCATCATATCCCCATGTTGATTGTTATAAATCTTCAGTTTTGATTGTTAAATCATCATTTTGTTGGACTCCATTGCCACATCCACATTGAACAGTGGGGTTGTAACCCCAAGATATAACTGATATAACATGATATAACTGAATGAACCCTACTTACCCTACACCTGCAAGTGCGGTGAAATGTTCTAGAACAACTCCATATCAATGTTCATTTCTTTTGCTGGTAAAACTTGCCACTCAAACTATATATTATTATTATTATATTATTATTATTATTATATTATTATTATTATTGTTATTATTATTGTATTATTATTATTATTGTTACTATTATTATTATTGTTATTATTGTTATTATTGTTGTTGTTATTATTATTGTTATTATTATTATTACTATAATATTATATATATATATATATATTTAATGGGGAACATCCTGGTTTCCGCTTCAGATTTTCCCTCCTACCCGTGAAGCCATCGCCATCGGTGGGACCTGGATGTTGCTCTCCATGTCTGTCTTCGGGGCTGAAAGACAGAACTGGATGAGGCCAATCTTGGCGTCCTGCCGAGCCAGGGACATCCCTGGAGCCTCCAGGAACTGCACTAGTCCAGGTTGTCCAGGAACACCGAATCGGCGCTAAGAGATAGGATGAACGAGCATCTTCAGGTGTGAAAATATACTGTTAATAATGGAATTCATATAAAAATGGTTTTTATATGGTGAATGATGGTTAATATATTATATAATAATCTGGTTGGTGGTTTCAACCTAACCCCTCTGAAAAATATGAGTTAGTGAAAGTCAGTTGGGATGATGACGTTCCATTCCCAATATATTAATTATGGAAAAAATCTTCCAAAATTCCAAACCACCAGCCAGGTATAGCAATTCTATATTCTTGTATTTGTATATCATAATAATATAGAATTATCTAATAGTTATATAGAATCATTATCTAATTAGCTAATAATATCTAATAGTTATCCAACTATAGACTATTATGTTACCAAATTTTTATAGCTACTTGCCGCAAGATTGTCTTGCTCACATGGCACACGAAGATCCAGTGGATCCAGTGGCGCGTGGCGCGCACCGCAACGAACGGCGCCTGGATGCGTGATGGGCCACCCGCAACGCGAGACCTTGGAGCTGGCTGTGAGGCTGGGGAGTTTCACCCTTTTGGGGCTTGAGAAATGGTTGAACCCTCGGGAATATGACGGGAATATGACGAGCAAACATTGAAAACTTTGATGATCTTTGATGTATTATATCTGGTTAATCTGGTTGGTGGTGCAATAACCATCTTGAAAAATATGAAAGTCAATGTGAAGGATTATCCCATATATTATGGAAAATAACAAATCTTCCAAACCACGATATGGTATTCTTATGTTTGGACGAAGCTAATACAGTATCACTTGGGATCATCATACCATTTTCACGGATGGACTTGGATTGTTCTTAAAAAAAGAAACTTTAACCTTCAATCACCTGCGTGTCCAAATGAGTATGGCTCCCTCCCACAACAAGAGGCTGGTCTTCTCTTGTAGCTCTCCATTCCAAAATGGCTATGGAGATCACACATGTTGAGCCATACCAGGCCATACCGGGCCATACCGATGAAATGGCAACTTTTTCGTACGGAAGAACCAATCTTCCGGGGTGCCCAATTTGCAGATGGTTTTATGTGGCTCATATGGCCGCATGCTCCCAGTTTCACAGCATGTTCTCAAGGGACATGTTCATCCACTGGGGCTCCACACACTTTCTGTGTGAGCACAAGGCCATCTACCAGTTCAGTGTCATCAGTAGTGGCTCCCAACCTGACGTGGAACGCGTGACTCCCACAGGTGGTTGCTGCCTTCAACATGGACTTGCACCAGGGGCAAGGGCAACCCTTAAACCATCTCAAACCACAAGATTGATAATTATAGAATGGTTAAATGATAATTGGACTCCATCATGCTAATGATGTTATATTAAGTATACGAAATGATCATGTTATATCAAACATAATGTTAATGGGATTTAACCACCATAATGTTAATGGGATTTAACAATCATAAAACATCTATTTATATAATCTATTTTAATTGATGCTTCTGCTTAAATCAAATCCCATTAATTAATTTCAGACATCCAATATTGGAACATGATCAGCTCGTCAGCAGGAATCTTGTGGTCTGCTAGTAGTCACGGTCTTGCAAGAGGGGGGAACACCACTTGTCCGGATAGTGATCTTCATAGTGAATGTGCATCTGTCTCAAAATAAAGGTTCCTGTACCTAACAATTTGATGGTTTCAAAGCATTTCAACAGCGTTAAAACTGCCATGAATTGGGGGGTGAATCCCAGATTTCTGGACACCAGGTGATTTCCAACGGATGTCAATTTCGCCAAGCGACTTCTTCACTAGCCTGATGTCATTGAGGTCGACGTTCGCAGCAGTCTTGGGGTCTGTCACCTGCCCAACGAATTTACAGAGTTGTTCCAGCTGGAACTTCATAACTTCTTAGCACTGCAGCTTTTGTTGTGGGGCAGTAAGATGTAATAGACAATAATATACATACAATGTAATGTGTATTAATATGATTTGTGTGTAGATTGAATAAATGCATGCTATATTCAATAGGACATTCACAATAGCTATGTTGCCTTGATAAACGAATACATCCAGCCTTCAACACCGCATCTACTGCAATGGGAGCCAAGGTTTCAGACTCCTGCGACACCACCTGCGACAAGCCGTGGTCACGTGGTCGTTTTCAATGACCGCCCCAAAAGCAGTGGGGAATGATGCAGTTGACAGTACCCTGGAGAATTTCATAGAAAAATCATATGAAATCCATTGAAAAGTCCAACTGTTTAAGATGTTCAACTCCAAATTCATCACATGTTCACCTTAAACTCAGTGCGAAATGGACTTCAAAATGGCTCTGAATATCTGGTATTAATGTTTACTGCTACTAGGTTTTTGAGTCGTCATTGTTCACACACTTCGAATATCTTGGAATAGGATGGACGTCCATGATGAACTCCAGTCGATCTCACCAAGCTGCCTTGGAGTTCAAAGAGGTAATGGCTGCCTGCAAGAGATGTTCCCGATCTGCCAGATCCTTGGTCGATGAAGGAACCCGGAAACGTCGTGACATATGTCACCATTGGGGAAAACCCATGATGTCAAATGACCCAACCCAACAAATACTGGAAAATGTGTGATTCAGAATTCCGACATTATTTTTCACACTCAGAAAACACTTCATCATTCATGGAAACATATTTCTTGATCGGGATGCCGTTGCCAGTGCGTGAAAGTTCGATGTGCCATGGTCAAAAGATTGTGTTTTAGGCATTTTTGTTAGGCTATGGTCGAAAAAAATGGCCACCATAATTCACTATAGTCTAATAGTCATGGCGGTATGACCATACCCCAAAATATGCCAAAAAAATATGCTGTCAAATCATGGCGTATGGGAATAATTTTCATCCCACAATGGAAATCCAAACATCATGGAAATGTACAATTTACCCATTAATAGCATGGTGATTTTCCATAGTTTTTTGTTAACGTTTACCAGAGGGTAAATCCCTATCAATGGATTAGAATGGATTGATGACCATCCCCCAGTATGGATATGCAATCCCACTTTTGACCTTAGCACATATGAGTATTGGCACATACGGAAGTATTTGAAAGGCTGGAAGTTTCAATCAATGACATCCCTCCCTTGTTGGAGAAGGGGAATCGGACTACCGGCATTTAAACACCAAAGAACGATGACCAACCACAAGGTGGTGCCTCCAGTTGACAAAAAACACTGTTCAACATACACCAACATACTTCTGCCATTCAACAGACTAAACCAGGAAAAATCTCCATGGTTTCTGAGTGAAAAAGCTCTGTTTCCCCCATTTTTTCGAGGTGAACTCCCTATGAACTCCGCGTCCGGGGCGCCACGGGTTGCGCCACGGCGTCCAAGACCTCTTCCGCCTTGTGGGCTGCCTGCAGGAAGGCCTGCAGACGGGGACGATGTTCTGTGGTAAAGCCATGGTAAAACCAATGCCACGAAACCCAACTACCCTCTGGTAAACATACAAAAAACTATGGAAAATCACCATGCTATTAATGGGAAAACTCACTATTTCTATGGCCATTTTCAATAGCTATGTTAAATTACCAGAGGGTACATATGTAGGGCAAAATTGCATAAAATTGTTACCATCTGGTTATTTAACAGTTTGCCATGGAAAATCACCATTTGTAATAGGTAAACCATCTATCAATGGGTCATTTTCCATGGCAAACTGTTAAATAACCAGAGGGTATTTGTTATTTATCCCAGTCATATTCTCAATTTCATAAAGCCCAATTGGGATGGTTTTACTATTGGGATCACACCATTAGTCAGGTTTATCTAGGGGAACTGAGCAGACTTAGGTGAAACTTACAGGCTTACTTATGTGACTTGCTGTAGGCAAAACATGGCAAGACCTAGGTCGTATGCAAAAGGATATGGTAACTCCATCTTTAGGGGTTCCATGAACCATCCCTAGTTCTATCATGGGTGATTTGGTTTCACTTCGGACCCAGGAAGAACTCAGGTTGACATTAGGTCAATTTTCTGCAAGAATCAAGAATCTGTGTCTGCCACTATTTCTGCAAGCAGAAATCACCCTGACAACAGCATTGTTGTCATTTGGCAATCCACCCAGCCAACTGCCTCTGTGATGGTTTGCGGGTGAATGCCTTTCTTCAGCCTCACGCCATCGCGTTTCGTTAGAAGTTTACCACGCTCCACAACGGCAAGATATCAACAACTTAGTCAAGTCCAATCATCAAGCAATTGGGATGTTTTACTGTTGAGTTTACTGCATCATTCAGGTTGATTTAGGGAAACTGAGTAGGTTTTTAAGAGATCTTTTAAGACTCTACTTTTTAAATCCAATCATCATATGTTTTGGGCTGCCAACGTGGTAAGCCTGATGGTATTTCTATTGTGGAGGGGGTTTTGTGTTGATCCCCCTAGTCAGACTGAGTATGCATGTTCAACCCAGCCAAGACATGTCAGTTGAGTGGGATTACCCTCGCTTTTAAGGACTGGAACATAAAACTATCATTGAAATTGAAACTGGAACCATAGTTACCACACTACCGGCGATCTCAGTTCTGAACAAACGCACCCTACATGTTCCAGTCATATGATGTCATATCCCCATGTTTGCTTGGTAAACAATGCAGATATGGATTGTACGGATAGGTATCTACCCAATGCTTTCTCATTTTGGATGGTTCAATTCCCATTTCTATTGGCTAAATCCCAAGTTGAGATGGCTCAATCCCAATGTTTCACAGTGAAACTGTCATTTTTGAATGGACAGAAAACTCCATTTCAAACCACAAAATCCAGGTTTAAGTTCGATTCGTGGAGTTGGATTCCTTCATGAAATCCGAAAAAGAAACGGCTGGTTAAATATGCTATTTTTATCTATATATTTTTGATGGTTTCATCCCGATAGTAGATGGTTAATCTCAATTTCTGACAGTTAATTTTTTTTTTCCATTGTTTATCCCAATTTCTGAGACTTAAATCTACATGGTACAAACCCCATTTTTGTATCGTTAAAAAACTCCATCCTTCCCGGCTGCGCAGCAGAACTGAGCTTCCAAACAGTCGTTCAGCTGCGCCCAGCAAGGCACCAGCGATGACCACCACGCTGGTGGTGCCATCCCCTGCCTCAATATCCTGCGCGAGGGAATTCGACATGGGAAACCATCAAATATATCAGTTATATGTAGTTATATTATATATAATATATATAATATAATATACTGTATATATGGTTACAGTATAATATAATGTTATATATATATATATAAGTTATATTATCAGTTACATAGGTATTTAAATTTAAGAACATTTTTTCAGATTGATCAAAGGAAATGGTGGTGTAACCATCAACAATAGGGAGTTAATGGGATTTATATAGATTTTTTTTTATAGGGTTTAATGTATAACGAGAGTATGGATTTATCCAAGGAAATGTGGATTTACCAACATTTGTTTCTTTCACTTGGAGATATAACCAACGATAATGAGGAATACTGGGCTGCTTCAAGGGGAAATCGACAGGAAACAGTGGATCTTGCCATCAAAGATTTCAACTAATTCTACAAAACATGACGAGAAGAAGGTGCAACCAAGCGAAAAATGATACAGTATATATCTATCTGCATAAATGAAATTACAAACTACTTCAGCGCTCCATTGTTTGACCACCCGTGGTTGCTGTTCCACTAGTGTATCTTATCCATTCCTGTCCTGTGCTTTTGACAACTCGGCCATCATCTTGGCCGTTGGGTGCTGCAATTTCAGCTTCCTGAGAGCGGAAGAACGTCAAAACGTGGTGACGTTGCGCACAGTTGCAGTCAAATCGCTTGGTAATCTCTCCCATTTATCCCATTGACGGTGGCAAATAACAATGATTATCCCAGTAGTTGCAGTCCTCCATTGAATCAAAGGACGTATCCTACTTGTGAACCCATGCAACATCTAAGATTGCTGATACATTCCTTCAACAAGTAGGAAAAGGAGTCGAAAAAACAATATCTTCCCCAAATTGCAACAGTATGTTTACTTCTTTAACTGATTAGATATTTCTGCAGGATGTTATCTATGAAATTATATAGATATATGTACATTTAACTGCATGTATATATATAATTAAACATGTTTTTTCCAGCATGAACATACCCTCTGGTAAACGTTTACATTAGCTATTAAAAATGGCCCAGTCGAAATAGTGAGCTTTCCCATTAAACATGGTGGATCTTTCCATAGTTTTACCATAGTTCACATATGACATAGCTATTGAAAATGGCCCAGTCGAAATAGTGAGTTTTCCCATTAATTAAACATGGTGGATCTGTCCATTAAACATGGTGATTTTCCATTAAACATTGTGATTTTGACATAGCTTTCCCATTAAACATGGTGGATCTTTCCATAGTTTTTTGTTAAGGTTTACCAGGTAAATCTGAAATGCTCTGGATCAGTTGGATCAGCATCTCGAAAAAAATCATGCCACGCCAGGTGACGACAAAATGGTGGCGCCATCATTGGAGATCAGCACCTCGCCTGGCGACCGAGCACAACGCATGTGCGGCACGGCGCAGAAAAAATGCCGCGATTTTTTCGAAGAATTGGGTTTCTAGAAGTGGACTATGATACACCACTATTCATAATTCCACTAAAAAAAGGTTCATACATAGCACAAGAAAAATAAATAACGATTTATCAGAGAAGGGCACCCCCAAACTCAAAAAAAACATGGTCACTGTTTTTCCTTGGCCATAAAGTGGGGAATGCCGGAATGCCGAAAACTTCTGGGCAAAAAAAACATGTTAGACTCTTCAGCGTCTTAAACATATACGGCATCTGAAAACGATTCCAAATACAGCACACTTCCCCATCGGTGGATCCACTGGTCAACGGAAACATATGCAATTCATCATCCCATATCATCCCACCAGAAAATCAGGATCGAAATCTCATGATTGATGTTGTTTGATCATTGTGTTCGCCATGAAAAAATGCCCACTTAGATTTTGCTTGGTTAGCAAATGGCAAACAACAATTCATGCACATATATGTGTGGATATTCCTATCAAACTGGCAAAAGATACTCCCATCCAAGATATTCAGTAGGGATATAGGGATGTGTGGGATAGTGTGGGATATTCCTATTATATGTGGGATATAAAGATTAAGGTACTCCCATCCAAGGATATCCCAACAATGGCCATGAACTGGAGGTAAATCAGTCGCTGGTCCAGCTGGTCGCTGGGATCCCACCACAGAAGGGGAATCCAGTCATTGGCCAAACTAATGGTGCTACGACCATCCCCAAACTAACGGCTTAACCTGATCCAACTGTTCACTACAGTTGGCTATATATATATTATATTATATATATATATATATATTACATATATATATATATACATTATATATATACATTATATGTATATATATATACACCATATTAAATGATTTTATATTCCCCTAAATTAATATCCCATTCAACAAGTCTAGGCTATGTATACATATAATTTGTTCCTACATTTCCCCGGAGTTGGCGTCATTGATGTTCAGCCTTTAGGCTCCTGGATCATCTTGTCCATGCCCTTTGGCCCTAGAGAGGTCCTGGTGCCGGATTAAGGCTGAAACCAACAAACCATGGTGATTTAGTTATGACCAACATGGGATTCAAAATGGGTAGATTCAAGCAATTTATTGAGGAAAACTGGGTTGGTTCAAGGGAAAATCTTAACCGGAAACCCCTACATTTGAATAAATGCCATGGTTTTCCTGTAGATGCTCATTTAAAGCAAGCCAATGTCGTCGAGATGCCGCCACCGAGCAGCAACTCTGCGTTGCGTCAGATTCACCACACGTTCCCTGTATGATGATGTGGCCACTGCGTGCGAGTGTGTGAGTGTGACGCCTAATTTTTCTCGCAGATTCGTGCTACCAGTAGAATGAGTTTATCTCAAAAATAGGGCACCAAGTTATCAAGCAGCTTTTAAATTCATGGACTGAGGCCATTAAATTTACGGAATCTACAGGAAACCCATGGTATACCCATGGTGTTTTGCCATGAAATGTCGATTTTTTCCTGTAGATTTCATGGCAACACGGCCCCCAGTCCTGACAGTGTCGCTCACGGCCTTGGCTGCCAAGATATTTGAGAGACGCACGTCTTGCCTAGGCCGCAGCAGGGCATCGTTTTTTATAGGAAAGCTGCGCGTTTGGATGCTACCCCCGAAATGGTTATCTGCGGGAGGGAAAACTATGGTAATCCATTGAAACTAGCGGGGGTATCTCATTTTAAGACAAACCCATAGTTACTTGGTGAAAGGAAACACATATTATGTTGACAAGCAGTTCACAGAGTAGACATGGCGGTGTCAAATGTTCATTGCAAAGGGATACAATACTGATGAGTTTGGCACAATCTTTCAGATGTTCAGCGGAATAGAACGAAGGAAAACAAGGACTCAAGGTGGTGCCCCATAGATAGCTAAGTTGGTTTATAACTCCAATCACTAGGGCTTATGATACTATATATCTATAGTTCATGGGGACTATAAACCAACTGATAACATATTTATTTATCAGAAACTGGCCCCAACTCACTCTGCGACGTTTCTCACCGAGCCCAGAAAACTGATTCATCATTTGCGAAAGGGATCCGATGAGATCCCAAAGCAGGCAACATGTGGCAATGTGATCGGCTATCCAGATTGAAATTTCATACATCCATGATCATCCATGCATGAATGTATGAATACATCACGCATAACTAATGAATAAGTTTTGAATGCATAAATTAATATATTAATCATCAGTTTTGTCCAAAACCTGAAACACAGGATAAAACCATACCGTACCAATGGTAGTAATGTAACTTCGGAAGTGTAACATCAGACGTTTTTTTAGACAACCCATGACAACCCCATCCAAGTTTAAACACATACTTGTCATTTCAGAGATCTAACGGTGAAACAAGAGCAGATGCATCGGACTAAAAAACATCAACAATATCAACTCCATAAGAGATGGAATGAACATAATATATCATAATATCATAAAGTCAAGGTGCTTCATAGATTCAGCCAAGATCTGTCTATTCTCAGTCTGTAGACATGTGTAAATAATCCTTTCTCATACGCAAGACACAAGACCCACAGTGAAATTGCCGCTGAGGCCCCCAACCCCTTCTCATCATTGGCCTGGCCATGGGGAGTGTAAGCATGTGTAACCCACATCGAATGAGTTTGAAGTATGATTGCAGTAACCCATGTTTAGACCCTAATGAGGAAACTGGTCAAGCATTTCAAACCTCGGGACCGACAGGCTGGTCATTTGGCCCCCACTGCCGCCTTCTGTTTGCCCGTTTCAGCAGTCATGGCCACAGTGAAGGACAGGACACCAGGTCTTTCTTTTTGGTCGCTGACACGGCGGCGGTGAACACTTCAAAGATGGATATGGAGGTTTGGAGGTTTCCAATCCATGGGGGGTACCCACGGGTACCCCAACAATGGATAAACATGGATGGCGTCGCCCATGGAAAATCCTATGACTGAACATGGATGATTTGGGGGTACCAGCCATTTTAGGAAACCTCCATATATGGGTCAAGCCATTTAAGAACAGGGTGACCACAGATTTTACCGATATCTATATTCTATTGTTAGTATTAACCAAGTTTGACCCATATCCATATTTCGTGATGTTTCAAGGGACCTTTTGGCTGACCATCTGTGGTACTTTTCCATATATGTGTTCATACCCAAATCCAATGGTCGATATGTGTCTCATCATTTTCGCCTTCAACATGGCCAAAGAAATTTGAGCGAAATCATCGAAATCATGCCATTTCCGGACAGACCAATCTGTCATTCTGCATGGGATTTTAGCAAACAGCCGGGGTGGTTTCCCACCGTTGTTTTTGTCCATGAAATGACCAACATGTTCCGAATGGGCCCCTGGCAACATCTGAGGATGCCGCCAAGCGCCTCGCGGAATCAGCGCAAAAAAAACATGGTAGCCCAATATTACCCTCTGGTAATTTAACATAGCTATAGAAACTCACAATTTTTAATGGAAAAATCCACTATAAATGACCATTTTCAATAGCTATGTTAGTTTACCAGAGGGTAGTACCAGTTCAAAAGTCTAATCGAAGCAAGAGAAAAATCTAGAAAAATGAAGACATCCCCAATTTTTATAGAATGAGTACGTTCTTATCCATTTTCATCTACAGTACTAAATTATAGGATATATATATAATAGGCACCAGAGGTTCTGGGGAGGTCTTTATGTTCAATAATCCATGACGGATCCATGTATGGTATATATGGTTATATAAGTTATATGGTAACATTACCATCAATATACCCCTTTTATGTTATCATATATAGCAGCACCATGGATCCGTCATGGGTAAGGACTGCAAGAACTTCTACTTCTCTTTCCCGAGTCCGCCCGCGTAACCAGACCTCCGTGGCTTTTCTGTTTCACCCCACAGACCAGGAAAGTTGGTCCAGCACCACAAGGACATCTCTTGGCGAAAAGACATGGCTGTTCTGTTTTCCATGGCCAATGTCAGATACATTCAGATAGCCAACAGAAAATTCTATGCTGGTGTACACTCTGGTAAAATCACTCACATAACTATAGAAAATCACTCACATAACTATAGAAAATCACCACTTTTATACAAGGTGGTGCCCCAGTTCGTTAGCTAAGTTGGTGCAAATAAGTCCCATAACTATGGTTTATGGCAGATATAACTGTAGTGGGTTTATAAACCCACTTATAACTGGGGGGCACCATCCTGTAGGTAAATCATGGTAAATCCTCCATAAATGGGCCATCTTCCAACGCTGCGACTACCAGGACCCCCTGAATTTCGCCTGCACAGCTCTTGGCCCTTGCTGTTTTTGGCATCCAGGGCCAGCGAGCGCTTGCCCATGTTGCAGCCTCGAAGTCCATAGTTGAGATATCCATGTCAGATACCCTCTGGTTATGTCAAAATAGCTATTGAAAATGGCCATTTATAGTGAGTTTTCCCATTAAACATGGTGATTTTCCATAGTTATGTTAGTTTACCAGAGGGTATCACTTCCGAAAAAAAAACAAATTCGTTGTTTCTTGGCGTTTATGTCGTGCATCGGAAGCCCCAAAAATTCCTCTCCTCACAGCCTTTTCTTGTCAAACATCCACTCCCATCCTCGTGCACATCTGACTTGAAACACAACTGACATGTTTGATAGTGATCCAAAGATCAAAAATGATGGAAGTTGCAGAAGCTTCCCATGGAGCCTTTCAAAGCCTATGGGTTACCTCAGGATTTCTATAATCCTCTATAGATATCCAGTAGATGGATTCAACCCCTATGCCTGTGTATGAACAAAAATGCATGGTTGGGGATGCTCATTTAAGCTACAGGACTTGGGGGTTCTTTGGTATTACAGTACCCCATCCCAATATTTTGAGACTGGCTGGTGGTTCAACTCCCAAAAATATGCTCGTCACGTGCGATCATCATACCAAGTTTAGAGGCGGACGATGAATTCATACACCTGCCTGAAAATGGTGTATAGCCCAATTGTGTGGCTATTTTAAAAGGGGAAATGAGGTTCTACTGTAAACATCTTTAAACCATCACATGAGTGTGTGTTTTCCCTTTTTTGTGTTTGGACAAAACCATGTGTACATTATGTAAAAGCAGCAACCAAGTAGAGCCAGATGCTGGCTCAGCAACTATCAAGGTAATTTAACATATTTCACTACATAGCCATTGTCGTACTGAATCCACTAGTATACAATCAATATCCGGTTAATATAATTCACATTATACCATACCATTATATTTGTTCCATTAATCCCCATTAAACACCATTAATCATCACCAATCCCCATTGACCGCCATTATATTGCCAATACATTCCCATTAATATCCCATGATTGTTGCTACTAATCCCAAGTAAATTATACAGCATATTTATAATAATATATATATATATTGCCATTGCAGAATTAAAACTGGTATTTCACAATGATACTATCATTGGTGGTATACCTACTCCTCTGAAAAATATGAGTTCGTCAGTTGGGATGATGACATTCCCAACTGAATGGAAAGTCATAAAATTCCATGGTTCCAAACCACCAACCAGATATGTGCGGAGATTTCTATCAAACTCCCCTACTATAAATGTAATAGCTCATGCTATACCCACGATATTATATTATATTAATTTATATTAGGATGAAATACCCATGATATTGTCAGAATCCTATTAAATCTTATTATATATGAAATAGCACGATATTTCATATACCCAATATATTTTGCTAAGGATTATAGTCTATTATATTCTATTACCCTCTGGTTATTTAACATAGCTATGGAAAATGGTCCATTTATGGATGATTTACCTCTATTTTCCTATTAAGAATGGTGGTTTTCCATAGCTATGTTAAATAACCAGAGGGTATCATCTGGGTATGGGTCAATACCTATAGATACATTTTTAGTGGGTTATTCACATCCATAAATCCCAGCTATGACTTGGGGTTCACTAGGTACCAGGGTTTTGATCCATCACCATCTTGTCCAGCAAAATCCCCATCCCAAAAAGGAACAGATCGCTGCCATGAGGCAGGCGAAGTAGGCACTCGGCTTCCCAGGATCATCGCCTTTCAACCGCCAGCTGCGTGTCACATCGCCACCGCTCCTTGAATTTCGCCACAGTAAAATGACATCGCACCGTTGGGCCCTTGGGGATGTGCTAAATTGTGACATGCAAGTGACTTCCTGGTGCGTTTTACGTAGGGAATGGATGGGAATGGAAGAATGGAATGATTATAGTTATTGTCTATCATTCCCGAAAATTCCCTACTAAGCACAAGTAAGTTGATGTTACAAACACACATCATTAATGCACATATCATTTGATGACATTATTATGATAGATTGTTACATATATTATGATGTCATTATATGATGAACTATGATGACATCTGATGAAACTGTGATAACATATTATACATATTGATGACATATTGATGAATGTAGTTTGATTGGTTAAAAAGAAACAACATGAAAACCAACACACAAACTGATTAAAAGAAGTTCTGCGATGGGAAACACCCTGGAAAATTTCCCGTGAATCTTCCCGGAAAGAAATCCACAGTGAATCAACTGCACTCCGGTGTCCTCAAACATGACAAGCTGGAAAATCCTCCATTTAGTTACCCTCTGGTAAACATACAAAAAACTATGGAAAATCACCATGCTATTAATCGGAAAATCAACTATAAATGGCCATTTTCAATAGCTATGTTAAATCACCAGAGGGTAAAGGATTTTTTGGTTAAAACCTCCACTTGCGAGTGATTTCCCAGCTAGCCAGGTTTGATTTCTCAGAGTGTAATTCTATGAGGATCCTGCATGCTGAATGTCATGGTCCTGATGCAGATGAAAAATGTGTCGCTTGAGGCCCTGGCTTTCTGTTCTCAACCTGCCGATGCGGCAGCCTTCTGCCTTCCGACTGGTAAAACATGAACACTCTTCCGACTGGCCTAAGAATGATTTGGCTATGAATCAATACCTATTAATACCATTATTAGAGGGATGAACATCCATTTACCAGCTATTTTTATGTTCACCAGGGGTACAAGGTTTTGACCCACTGCCATTTGAGTCAACGACCATTTTGGAAAAATGAAAGCAAGTCCAACAATAGGGTACTGCGCATCCACTGATTCAACATCCGAAAAATAACTTGTGGATAAATATATTCTTTATGTATCTAATCCCATATCTCACATTACATCCCATTATATCCCATTAGATCCCGATCAAAAGGATCGTTTTTTCATACCCTGATTCCATATCATTCCATCCCATTCCATTTCTTTTAATTCAACTCAATCTGAACTGCCAAACTTAAAATCGGTAAAATGAAAGCCAAACTTAACATTTCCCAGCATATTTTACCCAGCGTTTCCCAGCAGTTCACCCAGCACCCAGCATTTTGCCTGGTGAAACCCAGCATTGCACCGCCTTGATGACGTCAGCACCCAGCTCGGCAAAGAACTGACCCACCGACGGGCCGGCCAGAACCTGGTGGTAACGTGCGTGGCAAAATCATGGTGAAAACATGGGGGAAACTGATGATGTAATAAGAATGGAATGATCACCATTAATAATCATAGTATATCATGATATTTGATACAATATAATATATATAATATTTGGATTTGCTATGAATATGTTGAGTACAACGGTGAGATCAATTTACAATGGCAATATATATTGTTTATGGATGTTTACGGGAATATCATGGAATATCATGGAATAATTTTAATTGAATGTAATCGAGAAATAATGGAACAGGGAAGGCCTGCCCTCACAGAAATCATAATTATACCTGACTAATATCTGACTCAGGATTCAACATTTGATATTTTCTCTATTTTTTTAAATGAAATTCGGCTTGGACTGTTCACAAACCTGCCCTGGGAAGAAGGTCCGACTGCGCCCGTGGCCGCACACTAGCAAGTTCCAGTACTCGAAGGCCTTGGCTAAGAAGGCAACAGGGTCAAGGTAGATATGCCATTTTTTTTGGCCAGTTTCACTTGATTTCCAAAGATTGTTGCTCTGAGTGTTTTATGTCTGCCTCTGACCCCTTTATCTGCAGGCACAGAACAACCTCCATAGCCTGAAGCATTGACATGCGCTAATCATGTTTACTTTCTTGACAAATCGTGAAGGTCAAGCTCAACAAAGTTCAATTCAAAGGAAGTCAATAAGTTCAGCTTCTTCATCTCAATCTTATTAGAAAAAACCCGTTCAAGAGAGCCTTAAATGGGCCAAAGATGGCTGGCTTACGCATTGGTTGTAGTACTTCAACATACTTCAACATTATATCAACATTCAAAGCATTTGAATGGCCACACCTGCCAACGGTGGTGATGCGGACGTGGAGAAACAGCCTCAAAAATCTTTGGAGCTCTCACTGCTGTCGTCTAGGTCGAGGTGCAGGAGTTCCAAGATGCTGTTTCAAAGAATGTAACAGTTGTCATGCTAAAGAACATGAAAGAACAAATAGTTTGTGTTGCCTTCAGTGTCTTCTTTCTAAGCCTGCCATCAGATCATGTGAAACAAGTCTTGATCAGCAACATACTGCATCATACTGCCAAGTCTTGATCAAAGTCTTGGTTTGAGGATCATCAGCACATTGCATCAAATACTATGACTTGATCTTCAAATGTAATATAATCAATGACACTATCAAAATCTATCATAAATATAATCACATGGGCAGTTTCATGGTGTCCTATGGATGTCTCTGTTTGGTTTCAGTAGACTTTATCCATAGGACACCATGAAACCCACGGATCCGGCTGAGACACGACGCCATCTCGCCATCTCGCAGGCTCAACGAGTCACCGAGTCATGTGAGTCATTGAAAGGATGGAAACATATGGAAACACGGAAGATTGGAAACCACTCACTATAGCTGGTTGGTGGTTGAGCCACCTACCCCATCCTACCCCTCTGAAAAA